ATAGGTGAAGGTTAATGGATCAGAAATCATTGCAAGCTCGGAAAATTTTTGCCACAGGAAATGCACATGTCAAATATGAGAGTCCTATCTTTTCTCAATAAAATTCAAACGCCATGACCAAGGTTAATGATTTTGAAAAGTACATCAAACTTCAAGGTGAAGGTCACGGGGTCAAAAACCATAGTGTATTTAGAAAGGTCTTGTCACAGTTAATACACATATTTAATATGAAATCCCCATCTTCTCATTCAAAAGTTATCGCTGATATAACGTAATGTTTAATTTTCTTTTAAAGTAGATCAAACTTCAAGGTCACGGGGTCAAAGATCATAGTGTATCTAGAAAGGTCTTGTTAAATCAGACAAAAATCATGTTTTACAATAAATACATCAAATTGAAAGTGGGGAGGCCAATTGAAAGTAGGGAGGGGGGCTAAACCAACAAAAAAAGGTAAACCCCAATTTTCATTGCCTATATAATGTTTATCTTTGCAAAAAAGTGGTGTTTTCTACGCCTTTGGGACCCATGGCATGTTTAAGTTTTAAAACAAATTAATTATGTACAAAGATAATATAATTTTTATTGTGAGTGTCAGGGAAGTTATATCTATTACATGTATTATAATAATTTTTACTAGTACAAAATAACCAAAAAAAAAAGACGTGTTAGGAGTAGTACAGCCGAATAACTACGAGGGGTGATCAAAAAGTTCGAGAACTATCTCTATATTTACAAAACTGCAATTCAGATCAGAATGAAATTTGGCACACAAAGAGTCATACACATGTTCTATAAATAGTATATGTAATGGAACGTTTTGCCACGTGTATGTGACGTCACAATGTGAAAATGACGTCATAAGGTAGATCACTTGTGACAAAAAAATTGTTGACTCAGTTGTATTCGAGAAACGAACGGCTGTAAAAATAAACGTATATCTTAGAAATTCCTTCGTGAAAGTTTATAATAATTTGTACACGGTTTATGAAGACAAAAGATTTGCCACAAGTTTTGTCATTAATTGGATTGATTGTTTAGGTGAAGGAAGGGAGATGTTTAAAAATGATGTTTGTTTTGTTGCCCGGTGAAAGCAAGTTGGGAGAGAGACGTGTCCTTTGTTAAGCAATTTGATTTGAAAGATCGCCAACTTACAGTTAGAAAAATAGATAAATATCTTTACAATAATATAATCATCAAATCCCTAAAATATCATCTACTTTAGACTTTAAACATATCAGATATGTTAAAGTGAAGGCACCCATGCTTTATCCACATGAAATAAACGACGCTCAAAAGACAAAGGACTTGGGTTTTGAAGGTCACCATGCTCATTCTACAAAAGGATATCATTATCCATCCAAATTATTGCAGAGGTTAGGCCATTTCTGACAAATGGACTGTTTTTGTTGCAAAAAATAACCTGCATGGTAAGAAATATAAGAGTTAGAAAAAATTTTAAGCTTCTGTGACAGAACGCTAAAGAGCATGTCACGTGATCGCCTATATCACGTGATCCGCGCGTGGACAGACTGGTTGCAGATGTGCATTAAAATAGGAAAGGGCTACTTTGAATTATTTTCAACACTGAAACCCCATATCATTTCTTTTTCGGAAGTTATTCAATTAGTTCGCGAACTTTTTGATCACCCCTAGTATATTAGATAACACTATATACTCAAATATAATGTTAAAAAATTCATAAACATTCTATCAATTTCACATTTGATCATTTATTTTTTTCTGCACTTTTAAAGACAGCTTCAACGACAAAAACTGCATTTTGGAAAACATTTTGAAAATAAATACATTTAACTTGCTAAATTTACAACTGAATATCAGTCCTTCGTCGTGATTTTTAACTGTTTTATTATCGCAGGGTGAAGCTTACCCCAATATCACACAGGACATCGTTGAGAATAAGACGTAAAAATTAAAATTTCTAATATGTTTACTTTTAAAATGTCAAAAGTTAATTGTGATCGTCAAATTTCAAAATATTGAAATTTAATATTTTAGTTCAAAAATCTAAACTTTCAAAACAGGTTTTAAAATTTTAATATTTTAGAATTTTACCTTAAATATTTAAAATTCAAATTTCCAAAAAAACGATTTTTGTATTTTAAACGTTTGACTTTTTATTTAAACTGTTTTCACACAAATTTGCTTAACAATCTTAAGTTTAGTAAATTTTGTAATAGACACAAATTCAAACAATTCAAATTTCTAAAACGTTTTGGAGTTTTAAAATGTTAATCTGTTATTTCAAATTTCTAATTTCAAAAAGCGGTTAAATTTTATCGTATATATACAAAGAGAATTTAATATTTAGAAAAAAATATGAAATTTTCAAAAATTTGAATATAAAGAAAATTTTTACATGTGTATTTTTACCAAATTTAACAAAATTCAAATTACCAAAAACTGATTATTGGAATTTACAAATTTTTTTAGTCACACATTTTTGATAAAATAATATAAATAATAATTACCTTTTTATTAATTGCCACATATTAATTTTTTTTGATTATTTGAAATTAGCTACAATTTTACAAAATACCAACTGAAATGATTGATTTTTGAAATTTAGAATTTTGATTCAAATGAAAATCCAATAACTTAACCCATATAGTTTTTGATAAATTTTACTCACTTTTATAAAATTTAAACCAGGTATGGAATTTAGAGTGTTATTTTGTAGGACATATATTGATCTTTTTATATAAACTCATGGACATTAATAGAAAAATTGTTGATAATATAAAAGTTAAGATTTGTCACTGAAATTTTAAATTTGTTACCTTGCTTTGGCTGTAAGTTAGAAGTAAATTTTAAATATATTAAAATCTCTGGTTTGTACTTTTCAGAAGAAAATAAGCACATAGTTCCCAACTGATTAAAAACAAAAGAAATACAAAATATGTTTAAACTATTTACAAAGTTAAAAATCTAAATTCCCAAACATGCCAATCTTCATGTTTTGAATTTTGTAATTAAATTTATATTTTACCTTAAATTGCAAAAAAAATGTTTTACAGAGTTTTCTTGAACAAATGAGGAAAAGCATCGATGAAATGGAGTCAGAAGATGAAAACTTGCTGTGTGCCCTTGCGATTCTTATCATCTGCTATCGCTATGAAATTCCTGTGACTGAGGAAAATAAGATTGATTTGCTGAGAAATCTTGTTTTACAAATTGATGTTGACAGGAAAACGACGAATTTGAAAGATGTATACTATGAATTTGAAAATGCTATAACGTAAGATTTTTCAAGTGATATTTTAAAAATACACAAAAAATGTAAAATGCATGAAATCATGTACTTTAATATATAGCCCATTGGTTGTGTTTTCCTTTAATTAATGGGGATAAAACACCTTGTATTATTAATGTTAAGTTCAGATCATAAGACAGTGTGATTTTAATGACCACTTTGTATTTTTGAAAAAAAATCGAACCTATTCATGAATTTTTTAAAAAAGATGACACAACAATCCAAAACCAAGTGGTATGGGTAATGATTATCATACAATGACCACAAGGGAAAATATTATCCAAAGGCCATAATTCCTACGAAAACGAGGCCATTTTCTACGTAGAATAATTATACTGACCAGTTGTAATATTCTTCGGTAGTCACTTTTCGTCGTTACCGGAAAAATATAAGCCTTACGGCAGCATTTCTGCTGTTGGTTTTGTCAAGGGAGGTAACTGGAATGTTTTTATTGTTCGTGTTCACAGTTCAATTTTCATTTTCAGGCCTACTCGCAGTTGAATTTAATTTAATACGCAAGGTTTGACACTTGGTAAGATTTTTTTGTCAGTACTTCATTTAAATGTTTTCTATAATTGTTTATTGAGAACAAAAAGTTGATGTCATGAGAAAAAATGCTCTGTTTAGTGTTTTAGCCAGCGTTTCCTCGGTATTCGGAAATTTAGTTTTGTTCATCAGTATTCGTAATTACAGGGATAGACATTAAATTTTATATTCACTTGTCCTTCGGGCAAGTGCGCTACAATTTTGACTTGTCCGAACGCAAAACTTGGTTGCCCAAAATTTAAAGAAGAAAATGCCAGTTACTATATCTTAATTTGTTGTTGTAAATTACTAAATAATAAAGAGTGACAAATTAATTCCTATTTGAAACTTAACTGGCGGAATTTTTTTTATATATGACGGTGATGCTACATTTTTAAAATATATCTTAACAATTTTTCTGTCATTTACTATCCTGTAAACACAAAGTTCAGTTTATTGTTTTGTTTATAAAATGTTTCTATCAGAAATATCCACTTGCCGGATCGGACAAGTACATCAAAGGTTTTACTTGTCCCGGTCAATCGGACAACCGTTAATGTTGATCCCTGAATTAAGAAGTAGGCCTAGTCAAAGTACTGTAAGTCGGTATGCTAAATCAATAATGACTTATTAAGTGATAAAACATTTTCTTTTATTCATTTTTGCATTCTGTTTACTTTTTCATGGCCTACTACTAAGTATAATTTTTTAGAATAGAATACCACAATATTTATTCAACCTATTTGGGCCCACAGTGGAGCAAACAGACGAACAATTGTATTGTATAATGGGGAGAGAGAGTTATCTATCTACTTGTAGGATAATAATTGTAATATGACATAATGTCTCAGCCTAGGCTTTACTACTACATGTATATAGTCTGTACTATATTAACATTCGAATCAGTGTAATTTTATTTATGAAATCCATTAGAAATCTACGACATTCAAATCTCTATAAAACACGCAAAACCTTGTCACCATGCGGATTTGTAATACACAGTAGGTATTACATGAAAATTTAAGTAATGTAGGAACACTAAAATACAGTTTTGCAATTTAATTAAAAACTTTAACCCTGTTTAATAAACGTAAAAATACAACAAATGTGCATTTAAAATTAATTTGTCACTTTTTTCCCTTGGAATGTTTGTTTGCGTTATTTAACTTTGCAACATCATAAACGGTTCTTACATCTATTGAGCACATCAGTTTTGAAAGGCACTAAATTCACATGAAAGATGAATGAAATAAGCATTTATGAAGAAGGAAAATTAGAGAATGTAAATATAAGCACTGATTTCATATTTTTTGATGTGGTCAGTCCTAAAACAAACCTGGCATGGTATTCAATTTGTCAGCATGGCCAGGTGTGTTACAGGACCGACGATATCCAAAAATATGAAATCTCTGTTTAAGGACAGATGATACAAACAAACTTTTGTCAAATAATTTGAAAATAATGACTTGAGTCATGTTTTGATAAATAAAATGAACAAGTTTCACTGTGTAGTTTTTAAAATTTTTGTGAAAATTTTACAAAAATAGGATTTGAAGTGAAAAATATTTGTATAGATTAATAAGGATGGTTTCAGAGTGGTAGACTTGTGCACATCATAGAAGGTTTACAATTTCTTTATACTCTAGAAATATATTATTTGCATCATTTTCAATGAAATTAGGCCACAAAATATATACCAATCCAGGCCGGAATTAAAAATATCTTTGTTTCCCCTAACCCGACCCTAAATTCTCAAGTTGGGTCGGTAGGTAGGTAAACAATTTTATTTTCTGACAGCAGCTTTGAAAATACATACTAAAATTTAATGGAAAATTACCTTTATAAATAAGAAAAGTACAAAAGAAAGCGATGTGTGAACAAAATGCCGAAGTATCGTACATATGCCGTTTAAAAGCAAAATTCATGATTAATTAATTCACAACTGTTATTTAGTTGAACTTGTGAAATATCTCACGCCATTACATTTCTATAAATTGAATAAAATAGACAAGATTCTCAAATACGCAAAGACCAGACATATACGAGTATATTTTTTCAAACCTTCCATCAGCCTTCAGAGCTTATAGATGATCAATGTACTTTTTAGAGGGCCATGAGATGTGCAGTAGTTCTGGAGCATTTTGCTTTGGAGTTAAGAAGTAAAGTGGCTAATTTTAAATCGCAGGTTCAAATCCCAATGAGTAACGTTGAAAACTGCCCTTCAAAGGGGACCATAAAAACTTATGTGCAGTGTTGCAGAAGATGCTGGCTCAAAAAAGATCCGCCACTGCTTAATAGCAAAAAAAGTGTTGAGTACGTCTAAATTTGGAGTAATGGGGAAATGTCGTCCTAACAAATCTCCAAGAGATTAAAAGCAAAGAAACAACCAATCTTGGAGGGTCTAATTAACGAAAAATACACTGAACGTCTCAGGAAGCTGAATCATGATTTCAAAACTATTTGGAAAGAGTATGTTAACAATATTTAATTGAACCAAGCCGAATCTACAAATGATAAAAATGCTGTATACAATGTCATATTCATGAGTTTAACCACTAGATATCTAGGCATGAAGAAAGGACATCTGAATTATTTTTATCAGGATGAATATGCAGACATATTTACAACAACTCCTATGGATTCATAATGGCATATAGTAAACATAGGAACATAGATGAATTGGTTATTAGATCAAAACTCAAATTAAATAAAATGCAGTGAAATTAAATGATGTGTTCACTAGGTGGGCCCTGTATCTACCCAAGAGGCGGGCCTTACCATGTATGACGTACCTTAAATTCAAAGACAGGTTTGTTTGTTTGTTGTTTAACGTCCCTTTCGAAAATTTATTCACTCACATGGAGACGTCAAGACACCTCCGAAACACTCTGAATTAGTCATGGTAAATTTTATTATCGAATTGTTTCAAGATTGAAGAATTCCATTTAGCTAAAAGCATAAGATTGAGACGTCACTATTGTTTTATGAAGAACTTATGCCATGTTATCACACCTGGACGTCATTTTGTTTCCAACAAATGCTTGAAAATCACATTAGAACAAAGGCGGTCGTCTGATAAAAACTGATTTTGATGAAATTGTATATTATAAAACTTGGTTAACAATAAAAAAATATCTGAATCATTTTATTTAAAAAATCTTTTCAGTCGGCGCGATTTTATTGGGTCAGTCGCGTTAGGGGAAACAAACTAAGGTATTTTTTATTTTGGCCCCAGGCATCCATTTTTTTTTGTTTGTATCATCTGTCCTTAAATGTTGTTTTCTTATATAAAAATCTGCATTTAAAAGTTGGTTTAATAAGACAACAAATTCAGAATATTCATTTGAACAGGTCAATATTGTTATGGCAGTATCAAATTAGGAAAAGATTTTAATTTTTAGAATCATCATGTGATCATTATAAAGGAGACTAAAGATGCAATTCATCCTAAGGTTAACTTGAGTCGAAGTAATGACAGTCTCACAACTGGGTAGAATTTCATTTTTACGGCATTTTTTAAAACGTTTTCTTTCATTGATCATGTTCATTGTTTTGAACTTCCACTTTTTTTTTTTCCAGAAGTGCAAAGATGGACAACTGTCTCTATGAAACTATGCAGTACTTAAAGAGATCATACTCTCACATTCAAAGAAGCTAGTGACCCAAATCATCATGTAAAAAAATGGATAAGGATTCTGAGAAGATATTGAAAGATGGACAACTTGAACTCACGGTATCCATAAAAAATGCTGATCATGAAAACCCATTGATCAATATTTCAAAGACGCCAGCAGAAATCCAAGGGCAAGGTCAGTTTCAGCCTAATTTTCCTTCGGATCAGGAATTCGAGGATATACTGAACTTTTTGCCAAGCGAATCTGTGAGAAATGGTCTTAAAAATGAGTTTTTAAAATCAACACACGTAAATATTGATCAGAGTGCTGCAGAAGGAATGACAAATAATTCCTCATTGACTTATCTTCCTGATAAAAATAATAGCAATTTAAGACTGCCTAATGGGTGTAACTTTGCATCTGATTTACCTTCGGAGAAGAAGGAAAATTTGAAAGTAAGAAATCGCAGGAAACCCCAGCACAGCATGTCTAAAACAGAACTCTATGATCATGATGATGACGGTTTGAGTGATGATATTGAAAAAATGTTAAATGAAGAAGCAGCAGTGTTTGAGAAAGACAAAATGACTCACAGCAATAATTCTGATGAGGTAGATTTAAGTGGCCTTGTTGGAAGATACCATCAGAGAATAAAACCAGATTATGTTCAAGTTGCTCAGAGCACCAGTGTTGTGAATGAAGAAATAAGCAATGACCAGGAATCAATACAGAATGCTGGCTATCAGTGCAAATACTGCCATATTGTATTATACGATTTGGAATTGTTTGTGAACCATTCAATGACTCATCAAACAGAAGATGACGATGAAGATCTCGATGATGGCGGATCATCAAATCAGGTGGATGATGCTTCATTTCCTACAAAAGAGAACCAAAGGGACTTTGTTTCACTTCCCATCAACAATACTTCAGAAAGAAATGTTGATAACAGTTTATCATCGAATCTAAAGCTAGAAGATTCTGCAAAAATGGCTGGCATCGAGGAAACAAGACAATTATCAGATATGAATATTGGAAGCTTTGTGAAAAATTTGGTGGCAAGTGAACATATAAAAGGAAAGAGGGGAAGAAAGAGGAAGAATCCCTCATCTTCAGATGTTTTAAGTGGCCCCTCTGTCAAGTGTCCCATTTGTTCCAAAGCATTCAAAACAAGAAATAATTTAAAAACCCACATGTGCAAGTTTCACAGTGACAGAAAGGAAAAGATTCAGGAATTCTTTGGGCATGGTGAGAAAATGAAAGAGAAAGCTGTTTGCTGTCTGTGCAGTAAATGTTTTATTTCTAAGTATGCCCTTTTGAGGCATATGGACACGCGCCATGTAGGAGAGACCTATGTGAAATGCCATATTTGTGACAATGTTTTTGAAAATGATGGATTACTCTTGGATCATGCAAATAAACATCACCGAGATGGAAACACAAAACGAGAAATGACTTTTTCACCTGCAGAACCTAATGTCTGCAGGCAAACTGAAGAAAATCCAGAGGACCATTTTCAAAACAAGCCTAGAGAATATCACATGGACCAAAACCACATAAATCTTTCAGCAGAAATCCAAAACCATACAAAACCATTCAACAACCATGCTCAAGAAAATCAACAAGAAGAAGAGAACCATTCCCTTGACACAAATCATGACCAACCAAATCATGGAAAACCACCAAGAAAGTGGGAAAATGGAGAAGAAGAAAATACCACCTCTCACTATTTCCAGAAAGATTCTGAGAGATTTATTGAAGACAATTTGAAGCCCACTGGCATTACCTGCAATGTGTGTTTCCTACCTTTTGATTCCCTGGGGAAGTTTGCCCTTCACTGTCTGACCTCGAGCGACTGTTTGAACTGTAAACAGTGTCCTGTGTGCCAAAAAGTCATCAACTCCAGTCTAAAAGAGCACTTAAAATCTCACTCAGGTATGAAATATCTATTGCTTGTAAAATAGTTGATAGTTCACAGTCACTCTTAAAGTATATACCGTATAAGTGGAAATTTTAGCGAGACGCAATTTAAGCAATTTTTAACTAAAATCTGGTATTTTATTTTTAGCGAAAAGTATATTTAGCAATTTCAAAATGGTAACTAAAGAAGCTATTACAATTTATATGCAATTTTATTTTTAGCAATTTTAGCGATGTCAGCACCCTCGCTAATAATGCCAAAATTAAATCCTCGCTAAAAATTCTACTTATACGGTAACTGCCTGTGACAAAGTACCAAATTATCTTAAGAAATGAATTAGTGTTAGTGTCTGTCAGTGGAATATGAAATTTTAAAATTAACAAATTAATTAACATGATTAAATAGAAAATAAATTAACAGATATGTATGTCATATTAAAGTTATGCATGTACATAAATACATGCACACATGGTCACAGGTGCAGTGTTTGTAGTTGACCAATCTGACCACAACCTCAAGTAAACTTTTATGCATGAATGTAGGATTTTCAGTGATTCATAGATTCAAACCTTGTTATCTTTGTTTCATAAAATACATTTCTCATTATTTCTCATTGTTTAGATGATCGACCCTACCAGTGTGAGATCTGCCAGGCCAGCTTTAAGAGGAACCATCAGATGAAGCTACACAAGCAGACTGTTCACTCAGACCTCAGACTCTACCACTGCGAACTGTGTGATAAATCCTTCAAACGACGCGACAAACTGACCTGTCACTATAGGACACATTCCGACGACCACCCCTTCATGTGCACGGAATGCGGCAGTGTCTTCAAGTGGAAACACCACCTCAAGCGCCATAAAGACAATGTCCACGCAGATAAAGCCACGCAGCTGAAGGCTAGGAAGTTTTCATGTGATATTTGTGGGAATTGTTTTAAGTGGCGACATCACCTTAAGAGGCATTTGAGGAACGTTCATCACGTGACCGATGAGTCGTGGGATCCGGATGACAGCAAAACCTCCCTAGATCTTAGTTTGATGGAGAATGAAAGTATGGGTTTAACAAATAATGGGAATAGTTTTAATACAGAATCAGATGATGAAAACGGTGATGAATCTTAGGTTTATATATATTGTGTTTTAGAATGTTTGAAATTGACTTTATAGATAAATTGATTTTTTTGTTACATTTTGACCATTTAAATTAGAGATGTGTTTAATAGAAATTCATACAAATTTAATATAATGTACAGACTGATATAAATCATGAAATTGAGAAATTTATTGTGGTCTTAAATGAAAGTTTTTTAGCTCACCTGAGCCGAAGGCTCAAGTGAGCTTTTCTGATCACATTTTGTCCGGCGTCCGTCTGTCTAGCTGTCCGTCTGTCCGTCTGTCTGTCTGTCTGTAAACTTTTCACATTTTCGACTTCTTCTCAAGAACCGCTGGGCCAATTTCAACCAAACTTGCCACAAAGTATCCTTGGGTGAAGGGGATTCAAGTTTGTTCAAATGAAGGGCCACGCCCTTATTCAAGGGGAGATAATTGGGAATTAATGAAAATTTAGTGGAATATTTTAAAAATCTTCTTCTCAAGAACCACTGTGCCAGGAAAGATGAAACTTATGGGGAAACATCCTCAGGTAGTGTAGATTCAAGTTTATTCAAATCATGACCCCCGGGGGTAGGGCGGGGCGAAAATGGCCGACCAAAGTTTTACATAGAAATATATAGGAAAATTCTTTAAAAATCTTCTTCTCAAGAATGACAAAGCCATAATTCATCATATTTATATGGAAGCATGCTCAGGTAGTGTAGATTCAATTTTGTTCAAATCATGACCCCCGGGGGTAGGACGGGGCAAAAATGGCCGACCAAAGTTTTACATAGAAATATATAGGAAAATTCTTTAAAAATCTTCTTCTCAAGAATGACAAAGCCATAATTCATCATATTTATATGGGAGCATGCTCAGGTAGTGTAGATTCAAGTTTGTTCAAATCATGACCCCCCGGGTAAGGGCTGGGCCAAAATGGCCGACCAAAGTTTTACATAGAAATATATAGGAAAATTCTTTAAAAATCTTCTTCTCAAGAATGACAAAGCCATAATTCATCATATTTATATGGAAGCATGCTCAGCTAGTGTAGATTCAAATTTGTTCAAATCATGACCCCCGGGGGTAGGGAGGGGCGAAAATGGCCGACCAAAGTTTTACATAGAAATATATAGGAAAATTCTTTAAAAATCTTCTTCTCAAGAATGACAAAGCCATAATTTATCATATTTATATGGAAGCATGCTCAGGTAGTGTAGATTCAAGTTTGTTCAAATCATGACACCCGGGGATAGGGCGGGGCCAAAATGGCCGACCAAAGTTTTACATAGAAATATATAGGAAAATTCTTTAAAAATCTTCTTCTCAATCATTTTCTAAAAAATAGCAAATCCATGATTGGTCATGGGACTACTTTTGGATTTAAACTTTACAATAAAAAGCCATTTTATACTAGTCCTACCCTTGGTGCTCAGGTGAGCGATGTGGCCCATGGGCCTCTTGTTAGAAGAAGTACTAGTGGCAATTTATTCATTTCAGAGTTATCTCTCTTAGTACAGGGTCACATTTCCTTAAATGAGAAAGATGGCAAATGTGTTTTGAAAGGGATCAAAGTAAAACTGCTGGACCAAATTTTTTCCTGATTTTTTTTTAGGTTTTTGGAACCTATTATCAAAAGAAACCAAACAATTTTTTTTCATAACTACATCATGTACATGTATTTGCTCCTCTTTCCCCAGTCAAATTTTAATTCAGAAATACTTTAGAAAAAAGAAAAAAAATCTAGATTTGAATTTTTTTAAGTGCCTGTAAATTTGTTAATTTAATCTTGTTTCAATTAAGACCTTGGACTTATTTTGAAAATAAAAAGTTGGGAAACATTCGGGTTATTGGAATGAATCATACAAGTGTAGTTCTACCATGATAAAACTATTGTAATATACCTCATAGCTCTTATATCCTTTATTTATAGACTTATATTGTATATATTGTATTTTATGTCCTTACTGCTGTGCACTGAGTAAATTACCATTAACCAAGTGCTACATGTATAATTGATTAGTTTTATGATCTAACACCCTAACAAAAGGTCACTAGTGCTGTAGCATATGTCTGTAAGCAACTTATACCCTGTACATCAATCTTTTCATGTTTCATAATCAATATATTTTTGTCCACTGTCTAAGGCCTTTCCAAGTTTTTTTTAAAGTCTATATATGTGTACCTTGGATTTGGCACCCCTTACCCCTGAATCATTTTTGGGGTTAATTCTTAAAATGACCTAACTCTTATTTAATTTATTTGTTTGACTGTTTGCTTGAATGTTTTACATGTACATCTGTATTAGTTGTTAAGAATTTCCAGAAAAGATTCCAGATATCTTCTTGTATCTTAACAAACCTATATTTTTGTTTTTAGAATACACACAGAAAGGCTGGTTCTTGTCAGCAATATTATTTTTCTTTCTTTGGACATGTTGGATAATACCATATTTGTACAATAGAAAATATTTGTTATTAAAATTTGTTGATTCTATACATATCTATTTAATTAGCTTTACCTAAATTTCAATGATAATCTTACTCCTCTATGGATTATTTATATTTATATTAAAGTTTATTCATTTAAAAAAAGGAAAGAATGTACATGTATGATGCTAAATGTAACTTATAGGAACTTGGGAAGGCTTAAAAGGTTCTTTCACTGATACAATAGAATATTTATAACCAAAGCAAGTTGTAAGAATATCAATATTATAGTGTGGTTAACTTGCAAATGAATTTAAGTGAAATTCAGAGTTATTTGAGATTGAAACATTTTCATGAAAAATACAGTTTCATTTGTATTTAATATAGTGTTTGCTTGATAAAAAGAACTTAACTGATTCAGAATTGTATAGTCTGTACAAAAAGTCGGGTCCAATGTTTTTTTTTTTTTTAATTTGAAAGGGGGATTATCCTGTATTTCTCACTCGACTGTTTCTTTTTACCTAAAAGTTGCCTCCCTTTGTATGCAGTGAGCCTCCTTACTCTGGTACTATGGGACCAATGTCAATAAATCCTGAATTTAATTGTTTCTCGGGAAAAGAGGGGGGAGGGTAAATTTTGTTCATAGCATTTCTTTTTTCTTCACATTCGAAGAATGGAATTAGACCATTAAGGAAAAACAGTTTATTTTGAATAGTACAGGGATTGGAATTGTTCAAAGTATTATACCAATAAAGGTATTCATAACACATACAAATGAGGAAAAGAAATTAATGTCATGTAGATGATTAGCATTATGAAACTGTGGAACCATATATTCTGATTCTTGTTGAAGATTTCAAAGGTTGTTCTTTTTATTATTTCGTAATGAAATTTTTTACTATAGCATATTTCTTTATACACTTAATAATTTGTTACAACTTTTTAAAAAGAAAAGTTGGATAAAGAATATATTAGTAGCAATTTAAATGTAACCACATTATTCCATGATATGCATGTGTTTTACATTCATGTAGACCATCTTTATTTAAAGAGTTGATACATGTAAATGTTTTGTCATTCTCTAGTTATATATAAAAATTTATTAGGACAAGTGATTTAGTGCTATTTAACTTTGTTTTTATATCAAATACAAATATTGTATCATACAAATTTTTTAAAATAATTTTTTCAATTATTATATTATGTAGCATTATACTAAGCAATAATAACCTTTATGTACTTATTCTGAATGGTTTTGTTCATAATGTAATACTACATGTAATCTATGTATTACTAATGAAGACTTGCTGAATCATATGAAATTAAATGAGAACATAAAACTTCATTTTCCTTAAAATTTTATAAAATGTCCCACCAAGTGGAGCATTTCCTTCCTACCACGGCACCCCTGTTCTAGGATTCTTGATGTTAAAGTGATATTTTTGTATTATGTACCACGAAAACGAACACAATTTCTTTCCAGAACTTCAAAACGTGAAACAATGATCTGCGGTATAAATATCTACAAATTGCTGCACTTTAAAAACCGGAAAAGCTTTTGTTATACATGTATCTTTAATTTTAAAATTTACATTTTAGCTTTCATTATCAAATCAGGTTTTAATTATCACTAACTGATGCTTTTTTTAATATAAGTATCTACATTGTACAAGGTGCATGTTGCGAAAATTGCTAGTAATTGAAGTAATGGTCATGTAATGTATTACTTTACAATGTAATTCCTCCCAAGCCTGCTAGTCGTTGATGGATTCTAAACTGAATACTGGGATGCCGCGATAATAATAAGTTTTCAGTACTCATTGTACCGATCACAAGTTGCTGTATTGTGTTGCATGAATTCTTTGTTCTTGGTGTCAAAATTGAAGTGCTAATTTTATATTCTTATATCTTATATATATTCGCATTTGCCTTTTTCGGCTAGGGAAATTAAAGTACTCACTAAATGTGATTACGTATATTAAGAAGGATTTCATTTAAATGGCCGGTTATATAAATATAGACATGATTGTTTCAAGTTCTTTGACAGAAACACATGAAATCCGAGTTAATTCCACTTTCTGTTGAACTACCGAAGATTCTTGCAAATATTTCCATATTTCACACTACAGACCACTTGGAGCCTGTTTTACAAAGGAACTTACGACTAAGACCAAAGATTTTAGTTGATTGTAAAATTTTGTAAAATTAATGATTATGTTTGAATTTGTGAATATAAAAACATATTGTTAAATGGTTTTTTGAAAAACAATTATATAAATTTTCAAATTAATGTAACATAAAAAACATTATAAGCAGAATTAAATTTTGGTCTATAAGTCTTAAGTTCTTTTGTAAAACGGCTCCCTGCTGGCTAAGGTACAGCTCCAAGAATGTTTTTGAGAAGTAAAATATCTTCTTTTTTTGGAATGACCCAAAAGTGTCCTTTCCTGCACGAAATAAGCATTTAAGAGCCTGACTCTTCATTCTTGAAATAAAAATACAAGAATTTGGGATATAGAGACTTTATAAATGAATGACTGCATTGTTCTCTATCAGCGAAAAGATAACATTTACATTATAACCAGTTCTTATATTCTTATACAGCATGATAGAATTATTTTGTTTAGGAAGCACCTGCAGGAATGATAATTCTTATCTGAGTGTATAAAGCAGTAGGGATAACACTTCTCCTTGTCAGTGTACCATGTATTCCTTAGTGTTTTTCAGTTTTTCTATATTCCCAGTTGTCACATCAATAGGTAAGTCAGAGATTATACATGTACACTTATTATACATTTATTGACTGGGTTCGAGGGCAAAATGCTTTTTGTCGGACCCAAAAACCCAATGTTTGTCTGCGCCTCGTTTGGTTGGAGGGTCGACATAACGCATTTTGCCCGAGGACGTTTTGTTATACCTTTAATTTTATTATTAATTTGTCATGCATAAATCTTGTACTGTATTCCGTGATGTAACAAGAGGTTCTATCACTGTCGAACACCAACGAATGCAAATGAGATTTAGCTCCGCGCATTGTGTGAAGTAATTTAAGCGGCCCAACAAAACATAAACAAGTCCAAAATCTCACACAGCGGTCAAACATCGATTTTTTAAATAAATGCTCAATAAAGGATCAGAATTGTTAGACATGTTTCGTATTGATTGGTATAATATAACTGTTTTTTTTTCAATGGATGGCACTGTAGTTCTCCAGACTGTCAATATATTTTTTTTCTCGAAGAGCTACAGTTCTGCAGCTATTTGCTTATCTGATAGGGATATCGATCGTTATCAAGTTTAACAATTCATTATAATTAACTGTATTTGTAATGTTATTTATTTCAGTCAGCCCTGTAAGTGAATATGTTCATGTTCCTGGTAAATTCATCGCCCCTATTCCATCTCACTCCATAAAAGTAGAAAAAGATGTCAGTCTGGAAATGTGCGCGGCCAAGTGTACGATCTACTTTCGGACGCGGCAGTTTCCCTGTTATGCGTTTGAGTACACAACCGGAAGTAAAATGTGTGTTTATACAAATATGACGACATTACTTGTTCAAGATGGTTACCTTGGTCTCCATGACAACATAAGGGTAGACTTCTACGAGAGATCAAAAGGTAAATCCATGCATCAAAGTTATTTGACACTAATAAAATATGAAGACGTAGAAGTGCAATAAATTTAAAATTCAAATTTCTTAATAACTTAATTTTCTTCGTATCTTATTGTTTAAACGTACATAATAATTTATTTTTATTGAAAATAGGATAACCTTAAGGTTAATGTCTTCGTCATTGGACACTGCGTCTCAGACCAATGCTTTCGTCATTCTTTCTTCATTCTTGCAAAACAATTCATTATAAAAAAAACTGTACGAATAGGAAAAACAATCACAAGATTTATTTGGTCTTCTTTATTTCTCTGCAGCATCTTACAAAAATCTGTTTCGTAAGATCCCAAATTCTGCCCTGAGTAAACAGAGCAGTTACTATCACATCAAACAGAATTCCAGCCTGGATGAGTGCTCCTTTCATTGCGTAATAAGCCACACCCATAGCTGCATGTCTTTCTCCTTTAGCCACGCCTCCGGCACGTGCGGTCTTAGTAACATGTTGTATACCAGTCAATCAAATGACACAGGACTGATACACACACATTTACTTTACTGTATATGTCCACCAAATTATAACAATACATCAAGGTTACAAGTGGCGAAGGCCGTTAGCATATCCTATATTTGATGTCCCCGGCATACCCAACAAACTAGACATTTACTCTTTATTTTATATATACATTTCATTGTGAAATAAAATTGTAAATGTATATTTAAAATATGTTATCCAAAATATTGAATTTATTTGTCAACATTCATAAAATAAGATAACCTTCCTCTTTTCCTCCCCAAAATTTACATTCCAGTGGAATTATCGAGAAATCAACTTACTTAAATTATAATACAAATGTTTGAACATAAAATAAAAATATATGGTTAATGCAAAATAAATGATTGAAGTGATCATTTGGTAAGGTTAGTGGAGGTGACAAAAAGGACAATAAGCAAATCATCACTCTAAGGAGGCCGATGTATCATGGAAATTGCTGTCTTAGCCTTTACGCTGGTTTTGACATATAAGAAAATCTATTAGTCTACATCTTTAAAAGAGCTTTTGAAATTAATAATACAGCTGTTGAACAATTATATATATTTTTTTATATTAACCTATGTAATTATCATGCATTTTCTAGCATGGCCATGTAACGCCACTTTGGCTTCAAACTACGCCCCTCATGCTATTGCTTCTCTGAAGTACCCGTATATGGCCATGTTGGATTTGGACTGTCATGTGACCATTCAGGCGCCTCAAAACAACAGAATAACCTTGACATTTCCCACTGTTTACTTCAAATCAAACGTTTGCAACGAACTGGAAGCCGGAATAATGATACACGATGGAAATGATGAAAGCTCTCCATTAATTGCGAGGATCTGCGCTGTGGCAAGTCGACTTTATGCTGTGAACTCATCGTCAAGCAGTTTGTATGTCAGATTTAGAGCAACCCATACGGCCATGGCATTTCAAGGAATCTACGAATTCAGTAAGTTGTTTTTACCTTATTAATCATTGAACAATATTTCATGATGAACACAATGTACAATGTGCAAGATTAAAATTGAATTTTAAATTAAAGAAAAGTAGGTTCATTCATTAATCCGAAAATTGTTTTGCTTAAATACATCTAATATCATTCTTTTAGCGATAATATCAAAGCTTGTAGTGTGTAAACGATAGGTGTTCAAATTTAGTCAATCAAAATATATAGTTTGAATACATTATTCAGGTGAAATTGAACCTGAGAGAGACCCTTGTGAGAACAATCGCTGTGGAAATGGAGGGACCTGTCAACCATTAGGACTCAACTATAAGTGCACATGCGTTCCTGGATTCACGGGAATATTTTGTGAAACCAATATTGACGATTGTTCCAGTAGTCCATGTTATTTTGGGGGCACATGTGTGGACCGGGTCAATGACTATTCCTGCGAGTGTTTGGGTAACTTTACTGGAAAGCGATGCGAGAGATATTTGGGAATGTGCGCAAACAGTCCGTGTAAACACGGTACCTGCTACACCACCGGGAGAGATACCTATGGATGTCAGTGTGAAGAAAGCTACGTCGGCAAAAACTGTGACGTCAGGTTCCATCCGTGCCTAATGAGACCATGCAGACACGGGTCGTGTGTTGATTCCGGTAATAATTATCGCTGTATATGTGAAGCTGGCTACACAGGGAAATACTGTGAAATTCAGGTCAATAACCCTTGCAACCCAAATCCATGTGTTCGAGGAGATTGTATGATATATGCTCCCAACCATACGTACTCATGTGTTTGCCAGTCGGGCTTCACAGGAAATTTATGTAATTACGTTATCAACCATTGTGAGGGAGTTGATTGTGGGTATGGACACTGCGTCTCAGACCAAACCGGATATAGGTGTCTCTGTGACAACTTATACGAAGGAATCAATTGTAGAACTCCTCGACTCTGCCGGGGATTAGATTGCGGAAACGGAACTTGCGTCATGAATTTGACGTCATCACCTAATGTCTACTGCAGGTGCAATCCAGGATTCGAAGGGAAAAGGTGTAATGTTAAAATCAACTTTTGCAGAAATTCCCCCTGTGTCAATGGCAGGTGTGAAAACAAAGATGGTGGTCATATCTGTATCTGCAATAATGGATTTACAGGTAAGCAGATGTTCTTAGTTTAGATGCATGTACCCATAGAGTTACACATATCACTTGAGAAAAAAATATGACAAAAGAAAAGTGTATATACCATTACCAATTGCGTTTTTTAAAAAGAAGATAAAATTTCATTACTGAGTGAATCACTTTTCACCTTTGCACTGCATGTTTTATGATTTATTTGTAAAGATATTCTACTTTATTTAAATTTTCTCCATACCAAATTAAGAAAAAGGGCAAACTCTTATGCATTTTTTTTCTTCAAAATATCAAGTTTAAGATATAAATTGAGCATATATAGAACTCTTCAAAATAACATAATGACTTCAAAGAAATTTAATTCACTAATTTTAAATTCTCTTTTTTTAATCACTGTACATGTATATAATTTTCATCACTTTCCTGAATTTTCACGTCTAATATCTCCAGGAGCCTCTTGTTCAGAAGAGATAAACCCGTGCAGGGAAGCGGACTGTGGGTACGGGATTTGTCAGGCTACTGCTAACTTTACCCACCACTGTATCTGTGCTCGGGGGTTCGCCGGTCTACAGTGTAGACAGGCTACAACTTCAACAGGTATACATGTGTAACAATGGTCAGCGTCATGTGCACAAGCACAACTACAAAAGGTATTTTGTTGCCCATCGTCATGTGTATACAAGCACAAGTACAACAGCTATAATTTTGTTGCTTATCTTCTTGTGCACAAGCACAACTACAACAGGTACATGTATTTTCATTGTTGCTCATCTTCTTGATTACACGCGCCTTAATTTATTACTTGCAACTTCATTGTTGACAATCAATATTTCAGAAAATAATTAGTGCAAATCTTAATTGTTCAAATTTAGAATTCGAATGTAAATACATGTGCCTGTCTAATAGTACATTCTGATTGCTAGTATAATTATTACTTCCGTATACTCGGAACAGGAGCAGTATCACAGTACGAAATAAAACTTAAATATTTTGATACCAAGCCTTTCTGAAGACATTTTCGAATTACCAGATTTGAAAAAAACTTCACAGCAAAATTTTTTTCTACAGCTGATGTTTCTCCAAACCCATGTCTGAATCAAACGTGTCAAAATGGCGGTGTGTGCAAGCCCACTAAGTCTGGTCTGTATGTCTGTCTGTGTAGACAGTATAACGGAGTCTTCTACACAGGGAAACACTGTGAGCTGTCCTATACGTATTGTGATTCCAATCCATGTAAAGTTGGACAATGTGTTTCACAGGACGGCTCTTACAGGTATATAATCTGGAAAGCAAATTATTTCTGTTTACGATAAAAATTTTCTTTTAATTATTAAACATTGTATGAATTATACATTGTTTATAAGTATTTATACATTAAAATCTCGTGACCTAGAATTAAACAGAACCAAGATTAAATTTGGGGGCATCTAGATATCAGAGGTAGGGAGGATAAAATGCTAAGAGAAAAAATGAAATGTACTAGTCTTCTAGTCAAAAGAGGATTTTGAAATATAACACCGATTTTCGATATATCGGTTTTTTAGATAATAAAGTTCAACTGTATTTCATATAAGCCTTTAAGATACAATGCAATTTTTAGCAGAATAAAAGTTAATAGTGGTCAAAGACTTGAAAATTATACATATAATTTTTTACTACATATTTCAGATGTGTTCTACAAGGAAGCAGTAACACTACAGCTTCTCCAGAATATTTAACAGGTACATTATTTCATTTCAATTTAAAATTCATTAAATTATAATATTTTAATATTTTTATAATTTTTTTGATGCTTTTTCAAAATAATATATTATATAATTTCAAGAATTTATTCGAAGAAAATAATTATGTGAATAAGTTACATGTATATACATTGTATTCATTTACAATCATAATAATATAAGTTGATTGCAGGTTCATATAATTTCTCTCTTTTACTCTCTTTCTATTTCCTTTTCCTTTCTATCTTTCTCTATCTCTCCTTGCAAGAGTATCGCAAAAACGCGCGCGATTTTTTTTCAACAATTAAGGTAAGGTTATCCCTTTTACAAATAACCTTTTACATAATATCAGTGATACTGATCGAGATATTGACATATGATATTTTTTACTGCTATTATATGTAGGACAATTATGATTACTCTTCTATGCTTTATAAAAAATTGTAAGAGCTAAAAAAAATTTTCTTTTTATTTATAAATACTAGTTTCCATTGCCTGTGACATATATTTAACTTTCATGTGTTTTTCAATATTGATGGTTTTTACTTACATATTCATCAACAATGTGTGGTTGCGTTCATTTTTAATTTTCCATGGACATATCTGTTAACATGCAAAAGCAGTTCAAAAGACTGAATACACGGGGACCAATTCAAAATTTGGTAAGAAATTGCACATCAATTTTTGCTTACATCCACTTATTTAGATATTAAAGTCAGAAGGCGTTTTTCATAGAAGTAAAGGGTTTCTATGATATATTTGTTTATTTTTTTTTATTTCCTTGTGTATTGTTTACTTCATGTGATCCATGATTTTTAAAAAAAAAATGAATTTAGTTGAATTATTTTAGAAATTAAAATTATCATAATTATTTTTTCAGGGTTTAAAAGCTGATTTCTTCATCTTGAAGTTCATATTTGAATTGCCTGCAGGGTTGGCACTGCTACAAGTACTTAGCTGGCATCAAATTTTGAAATTTTGTTGTACATGTATATAAATTTTAAAACTAAAATATTCATCTTGTTTTCTTATTTATACAGTTTAAGAAGAATTTTTATATAAAGCTTTTATAAACAATCGTATAGCGTTTGCTTCAAACGAGATCCCAAATGACTGCATGTTTGGAATATCCATAGCAGCCTTTTCCACCCTCTAACCAGGTACACTTTTAGGATAATGATAGTTGGTACATATTGATTCAATGCGGACTTAGTAAACTTTCTGCAACAGCAGTAATTATATTTATTCCTTCCCATACATACACCCAAAGAAAGCATTTAAATAATTAAGTCAACAGAGTAGTAATTTTCTCATCTTAGTGATCTTAAACTGTTCAATAGTCAGGAAAGTAATGTTATTGTCATTGACTAACACGAATTTTATTTTCTGTATTATAAACAAGATGTGTTTTTGATACACTGATGCCCCCGTATAGCAACATAGCGAAGATTAAACTCTTCTTAATGCAAATTAAATATATCAGTACCCTAAGTAGGGTCTTCTCACAAAAATACGATCGTGAAATATGAAAGCCTTAGTACCACCTGTTCAAATGTTATGGCCAAGGATTAGTTTTTGAAAGGTTGGTAAATCTCCAAGGTTAAGGTCAAAGGGTTCAAGTTGTTGATTTCTTTAAAAAGGTCTTGTCACAAGTATTACATATGTAAAGTATGAAAGCCCTAGCATTAACCGTTCAAAAGTTATGGGCAAGGTTCAAATTTTAAAAAAGTAGGTCCAAGGTAAAGGTCAAAGGGTCAAATTTCTTGATATCCAATGAAAGGTCTTCTCACAGGAATTATATATGTGAAATATAAAAGCCCTAGACCTTACTTTCAAAAAAATTATGGTCAAGGTTATAGTTTCATACGTACGGAAATCTACCAGGTCAAGGTCAAAAGGTCGATATTGTTGATATCCAATGACAGAAAGGACTTCCTACAAAGAATGTATACTGAAAGGAAAAAGAAACGCAGGGTAAACTTTTGAGGCAAATTAAATTTGTTTTTCTCAAAATATGTTTTAATTTTCCTATCTAACTTTTAAAGTCATCTTACAAAAAGATATAACCAAATTCTCATTTGAATTTGTCTAATAATTCATGAGTTTTTGAAGCTCAAATGACGATACCCCCCAAAAGTGAAAGCTCTCATTATCTTCAATGTCTCTCCCGTGCATCTGTCAGAGCCTTATTTCTCCTTTGCATCACAGTTCCTCATAGTGTTTATATTTCAAACCCTGGCTATATTTGGCATGAGTTACCAGGCAAAAAAATAACTCAAACGGCGCGCGCATGCGCCAGTGAGAGGTATACAACAGTAAGTTGACAAGCTCAAAAAACCAAATTGCGGAATTGTTTTCTTTCAAATTTCGTATGAATGTAATGATTATAATCGTCTACTGTATAAATGGATGTTTCTGTGGTATAAGGTGGCGATTTAAGAGATGGCAGGACGAATAACCCGCTCTTAACATGGCTCTGTTTCACGTTAACGTCATTGTCATGGTTGATTGAAAACCATTCCAGACCCTCTTTGACAACGGGTAACAAGTTTTATGGGGGAAAATTTACAAGAAACTGCTTAGTAAATCGTTGATGCCTTTTTCATTAATTAGGTAATGCGAAAACAAGACTCCATTAAAATTCCGTTAACTGTGCCAAGATAAACTGTGTCAAGAAATTCATAATGTCTATTAATATTGAAAAACGATGTTTATACCTAATATGCATCAAATAATGCAACAGGATTTGTTGACAAACTCGTCGCTATCAAATTGCACATGTTTTGGCCTTTTTAGTATTTTCCCTACGTGACGTAATAAATTTTACGGTTGAGAAATTCTGAATACAGATTGTGGTGCACAGTAGCTAAATTTATCTTCTGACAAATTTTCGTAATTTTCGGTCATGTGGTCAAAATTTTTTAGAACATTATGTTACCCTGCGTTTCTTTTTCCTTTCAATATATATTTGAAGCATAAAAGTCCTAGTATCTACCATTCAAATGTTATGGCCAAAGTAAAAGTTTGGAATTTTTGTGAAAAATTGAGTCAAACTCCAAGGTCAAGGTCAAAAGGTTTAATTTGGTAAAGAAAGGTTTTGTGACAAGGAAAACACGTGAAATAAGAAAGCCATAGCTCCACGTAATCAAAAGTTATGGACAAGGTTAAAGTTTTTGCAGAGAAACAGACAGACAGACAGACGGACGGACACTATAAAAACTATATTCACCCGAATCTTCGACTTAGGGGGCCGCAAAAATGGAACTTATGTATTTTTCGAATGTCGTGAAATTGTAAGGAAGAAAGTACCTTCAGTTCAGCAACATCTCTCTCTCTCTCCACGAGCATCTTTCTTTATTTTAAGACAGAGATTTTAAGCACCGCATTCGAAAATACCTGGCCTAGGTAGCCCTGTCAATCAAGTGCATGAAGGTCCATCATTGGATGCTGGAACTTGATTGACATTTACTAATCAGTCCATATATATATACCCTATATACCTTGATTGACTCTCGTTGGGACCCTCAAATTAACTTTGATCCTTTGATGTTTACCAAACAATTGAAGCTGAATTACCATTAAAGTTTTCAGCTTTATAATACATGAATTAATGCCCTGTTCACACGGGGAGTTTAATTCAATGCCCTTTTCACACGGAGAGTTTAATTTGCAGTAAATCAATGCGAAGTAAACTAATGCGAATCAAACTAAATTCACACGACAGCTAATGCGAAGTAAAATAATGCGAATTTAAAAAAAAAAAATACTTTTGCAGCCCGGCGTCAGCACGGCTATTATGACGTCATTTGCAAATCACGTCACCTTATGCTAATGCAGATCCATTTGACTTAATGGCAAAGTGTCTGTATTCACATTTTAATGATTTACAAACTTTTCCTTAGTTTTACAAACTTTTCATTAGTTTTTCACTCAAAAATAGCAATGTAAGTACCTATAGCTGACCACCGACAAGTGGCATTTGACTAAATGTTGCCATTACGCATGCGTCAAAATTTAATTCGAATTAGCTTCGCTTAGCGTTCACACGGAGCTGATGCAAAGTAATTTAATTAAGCATTGAATTCATATTTTTGGCTGTCTTCGGTCCTATAACACACCTGGCTGTGCCGACAAATTGAATACCGCGCGTTAGCGCGGTATGATAAATTTGTCGGCACGGCCAGGTGTGTTATAGGACCGAAGACAGCCAAAAATATGAATTCAATGCTTATATTTACATTCTCTAATTTTCCTTCTTCATAATTGCTTTTCTCGTTAACATTTAATGTGAATTTAGCGCTGTTCAAAACTAACGTGGTAAATAGACTAAGAGCCATTTGTGACGTCAGATGACGTTAAGTGACGTTGCAAAGTTAAATTACGCAAACAAACATTGCGATTAAAAAAGTGACAAATTAATTCTTAACGCACATTACGTAAAATTCTACGTTAATTTTTCAGGGATGTAGTTTTTCATTAAATTGAAGTAAAACATTTTACATTTTGGTGTTTCTAGAGTATTGAAAATGCATATAGTTCCTACTGTGTATTCTAACGCGCGGTGACAAGGTTTCGCGTGTGTTATAGAAATTTGAACGTCGTGGATTTCTAATGGATTTGATAAGGAAAATTATACTGAATGTAAATATTGCGCAGTAAACTAATTCGAAGTAAACTCATTCGCATTAAATTCTCCGTGTGAACGCTAAGCGAAGCTATTTCGCTGTAAACTTACGTTTAATTTGTGCCCTGTTCACACGGAGAATTAAATTCGAATTAAACTTAAGTAAATATACCTTTAAATGATAAATGAAAGGAATATAATATAATTTACATTTAAAAAAATTAACTTTGGTATGTAATGGTTAGGGCCGTGGATGTTGGCCTGGATAGCTCAGAGAGAGAACCTGACTAGAGATACGGGTTCCATTCCTGGTCCAGCCATACATTTTCTCCTTTCCTGTTACAGGTACAAAAAAACTTCTTTTTTGCAAATGAATTTCCGATTATTAATTTAAATACGCTATACCTATACATGTTATAGTGGAAATGTTATTGATTAAATTTTAGAGCAGCACAGTGTGAAGCAATTAATTGAAAAATATTTAGGA